TAGTAAAATTTAGGGTTAGAGTTAGAAAATTAAGAATTATTTTTTTTTTATATAATATAATATAGAGCTAATATAAGGGTCTAATCTTAGTTCTTATGAGGTTTTTGAGGGTTCTGAACATTTTTACTTAGAGAACCCGATTCTGTTTACTTAGTACATTTTTAAGAAACAGAACCTATGGTGTAAAACACTATAGGTGCGTTTTAGTAAAAGTCATACAAAATTGCTTTTTATTAGCAGTACAAAAGAGATTATCTTAGTAAAATTTTGTGTTATAAAGGTTGTTATCAGTGTTGGCTTAACTAGATCAACTTGACCATTTGACCAGACCAATTTGACCAGTGACCAGTCTGGTCCAGGTATCTTAATACCGGTCAAATCGGTTAACGATTTGGTTACACTGACCAATTTGATCAATTTGACTATCAGTCAAATCAGTCAAATCAGTCAAGTGATCTGTTATACAGACCAACCTGACTGATCTAATGCGAACATGACGATTTATTAGAATCAATTTATAGAATCAAATTTATAGAATCAATTTATTAAAAGCACTATATAGTTTACTTTGTTCATATTTCAAAAGCTTTTCTAATTCATACTGTCATTTATTATTTATAGCGAGGCATGGTGAAGTCTATAGAATAAAAGACAGGAACTAAAATCATTACAAGATTGAACAAAGCAATTAGTCGAACCAGACAAGAGAAAATTGAGAACAAAGTTAATAGCGAAACTAAAAAATTCTTTTATTACAAATAAAATATTTACTTTTTACATATAAAATGTTTTTACTTTTTATAAAATATTTACTTTCTACGAAATATTTACTTTCTAGACTACAGAATTATCTTCAACACATTGTTGGAGAATACAAACAAACGACGGTTGTGATAAATTACGTGCGAAAAGATATTGGAGTTCAATTTTTGAATCTTCATGTTCAGCTGGATGATAATTGTATAGATCTGTAGTATCAAAAAAAACTGTGCTTAATTCTTCAGTTTCCTCATCATTTTCATTCTCATTATTATCATTCTCATCTTTGTTCTCATTCTCATCATCATCATCACCAACTTTGACCCATTCTCTGATAATAGATTCTTCATTAGTTATTTCCTTATTTTCATCATTACTATAATCATCATTGCTATTGTAATCATCATCAATATTATAACTATCATAATTAGGTAATTCACTATTTCTATACACGATTTCGGGATCATCTAATCTACTATTTAATTCATTGACTAGTCTTCTACTATTTAATTTATTGACTGGTCTCGATGATTTATCAGTATAACTTGATTCAACATTCAAATTATTGGCAGAACTTGATTCTGCATTTGATTTATTAGCTGGACTAGTAATACAGTTTATGGTGACAGCTTGGTGAACTTTTTTAGTATTCTCTAATCATTCTTCCTATGCCATTTCAGCTGCTACTTGAGTTATCCTAAAGATTGTTTGTAACTGCGAACAAGATAAGTTTATTTAATATAAATTTATAAATTTAGAATACAGTATATTATTACTTACTTTGAGGCGATTGCATCTTGGACTTTGAAACTATCCTATTCTGGAAAAAAGACGCTCGCATGGTGCCGAGTTAATTTTAATACTATACAACCTGTAAGCGACTTTACCAATCTCTTTTTGATCAATTGCAGCAAATTCCCAATATCGTAATAATGCAAGCCCATTTGCATTTTTTGTTTCAACCTTTGTTGTTAAAATAGCTTCAAGGGTATTTTCAAATCTTTCATTACTAAACATACCACGTTTTATATAATATTTAGTTAATTCTAGTGTAACACATCGTGGCTTTACACCAAACCACATTTCATGATAATATTTAATTCATCTCGTTATTCTTTCAAGAGAAAAAAAATTAACATTAAACAAAGCCTGAACCCAATATTGCAGGTGAAAAATAATTGCTAAAAAAAGAAGAGGTTGCTCTCAATCTGCCCATTTTCTTTCAAGCTTCTGTTGCATTTGATAACCGAATCTGTCTAATTCATTTTTATATTGCTGTGTTATATATCCGAAAGCATAGGTAACGTCAAAAAGAGTGGCTACATCACGTTGAAGGTAGTCCAGGATGCTAACAAAAGGTAGAAGGTGTTCTACTAATTCATCAAGATACGTCCAAAATCAATTACTATTAATGGCAGTTCAAGATTTATCTGATAACTCAGAAGAATTTAGATATAAAATTGAATATGACTGTAAAGCACGTTTGCTTCTTAGAAGTGTTGCAAAGCAATAATAATAGGAGTTCCAACGGGTAGTTACTGGAAGCACAAAGCTATAAATTGCTTTGTAAATCCTCTGTTGTTCATCACGAAGTAACGATATTGCTTTCGAATGCTGTTGATCAGTAAAATATAATGCAATTCCAATTGCTTGCTTTAGTATTTGCTTATATACAGACGAAATTTTAAAAATATCACCAACGCACAGGTTTGCCTGGTGCGTAAAGCAAGGGAGAAATGTAATATCACGCCTTTGCAATCACATTCTGCATCTGGTAAGTAAATATATACATTATTTTGTGATTCAAAATAAAAACAAATATATCTAATAAGTCTTTTT